CCCCACTTGTGCTCTGTTTCTCTCTGTCTCTCAAAAATAAATAAATGTAAAAAAAAATTTAATTAAAAAAAAAAGTTTTTCATTATAAGACCCTGTCAGTTTTGTGTGTGTGTGTGTGAGAGAGATGGAGGGATAATTTAAAGGCAGAGGCCCTGCCATGGTGAAAAAAGACCCATTCTCCATGAATGACCAGGTGGCTCGTGTCCATGTACAGAGAGCAATTCAGAGTCAAGTCTAACAAGTATATAACATAATATAGCTAATCCAGTGAACTGAAATAAAAATGGAATTTTTTTTTTGTTCTCTTAACAGTATCCATAATGATTGGATCATTGCTTGCTGCGTAGCAGAAGCTCAACAAATAATAAAGAAAACAATAAATGAAAGGCTCTAATTGGTTCAATTCAGCACAGCAAACATTTCAATGAAAAGTTGATTTCTACAAGTGGGCTATATATGGTCTAGGATCAGTTCCCATTTTCTTGTTAGATACAATAACTATTTTTTTAAAGTTTATTTTGAGAGAGAGTGCGCGTATGTACGAGTGCATGTGAACAGGGGAGGGGCAGAGAGAGAGGGAGAGAGAACCCCAAACAGGCTCCCCACTGTCAGCACAGAGCCTGATCTCATGAACTGTGAGATTATGACCTGAGCTGAAACCAGGAGTTGGTTGCTTAACCAGCTGAGCCACCCAGGCACCCCTGTGATAACTATTTTTTAATAAAGAAGGATGAAATTATATATTTTAGTGTAGCGTTCTTTTTTATCTCTTAATATTTTAGGTTTGGTTGACCTTGGCAGATCATTATTTGCACAGTATAGCTATTGATTGGGACAAAACCATGCGCTTCACTTTCAATGAAAGGAGTAATCCTGATGATGACTCCATGGGAATTCAGATAGTCAAGGTAAGTCCCCTGAGTTTGGCCTACTGTCCTGACTTAAAAGGAAGATTCTAAGAGCCAAGTGTTTACTGGATAGAGGATCAGACCTTATGGTCTGAATGTCTATATATTTTCTGCTTTCTTATTTCATTAGTTAACAGTCTTTTAATGGGAACTTTGACAGTATCTTGTCTTCATAAATTTGTATGTTGGCAGTAAGAAGAAAATGTTTCTGTTCATATTCTATTTGCTTATCTTACTTACTTGATAGGAGATTGAAATTTCTTTTACTTTCTTTAGCATGGGTCAGTGCTGTTAACTGGATTTTTACATAAAAGTCACAGATTGAGAAATTTAAAGTTAAGTATATTTCCTATTAAAATAATTGGGCTCTTATTAGGGCCTTTGATAATTCCTTAACTGTTAATTTATGAAGATAGATTGACTGATGGGTCTACTTTGAACCAGATGGTCAAGGGTTCATGCCAGCTGTGGAGGCAGCTGTGGTTTGCCTACTGGGATTATTACAGTTGATTAGGGCCTGTTGCCAAAAGCCAAGGATGCTGATTCAATTTGATCCCACTACTGTTTTCTTACATAAACCTCCGGCACATGGCTTTTGATTTTATGAGTTCATTACAGTGTAATGCTAAGTTGGGTTATTTTTAATGCTTATTTATTTATTTTGAGTGAGAGAGAGAGGGAGAGAGAGAGAGAGCATGCATGTGAGTGCGTGTGTGAGTGGTAGAGGGATAGAGAGAGAGGGAGAGAATCCCAAGCAGGCTCTGTGCTGTCAGCGTGGGGCTCGAACTCATGAACCATGACATCATGACCTGAGCTGAAAGCATGGGTCAGAGGCTTAACCGACTGAGCCACCCACGTACCCCTAAGCTAGGGTTTTAAAAGGGAAGTTGTCTCATAAATTTTGGCCACCGGAAGATGGCTAAGTTTTTGGCAGATTTGAAGATACTTTTCTCATGAGGAAGTACTAACTAAAAGAAGTTTCTATGTGATCTAACTTGGTCTGTTTCAGACAAATGTTGAAAACAATTATAAAATTTTATTTTGTATGTTTTAAAAGTGTCTGCACTATCCATATTTCAGCTCTTTATTTGGAATTTCAGAATGTTTCTCAGAAATGAAGTATTCCATATATTTTTAAAAAATGTTTTCATTTATTTTTGAGTGAGCGTGAACAAGCAGGTGGCGGAGGGGCATAAAGAGAGGGGGGGCAGAGGGTCAGAAGCAGGCTCGGCGCTGACAGCAGAGAGCCCGATGCGGGGCTTGAACCCCTGAACTGTGAGATCGTGACTGAGCTGAAGTCAGATGCTTAACTGACTGAGCCACCCAGGTGCCTCAAAGTATTCCATATTTGAAATATTTTCTTTCTGTTTAAATTGTGAATTAAGGCAATGTACATTTTATAACAATCATGTTATTAAGAGAATGTTTCATTTTTCTCATTGAAGTAAATGCTCTGTCAGTAAAATGACATTAGCTCATGAAAATCATAGTCTCTGCTTAGTTATTAAATGATATATATTGCTCTCATTAAATATTAAAGTACAACAAATGTTTCTGTCCTTATACAAATTTATAAACCAATTTAGATAGATTTCTGTGTCTTGGACAGAACAATTTTTCTGTCTCTCTGCAATATAGTTTGCATTTTTTGCTATTTTGATTTTTCTCCTTAATATTAGAGTTTTAATAGGTAAATATTACATTGTGTTTTCGAGAAAGGAATAATGTTAGCATCTATCATATGTGTATTGACGTGACCATTGTTTTATCTGAGACCTAGTATTAAAAGAAACTGTCAATTTATATAGAATTATAATGCAATTTTTGTTAATTCTGAATCACATTTGTATCACTTCTGGAAACAACTTTAATAGAAAATTAGAAAGAAATTTAGAAAATTTGACTGAAATTCCCCTTGAAAATGTCCTTAGTTAACTATATCCGAATAAAACTGGAAAAAAATGTATCTTTGCATATTAGAAAATGTAAGGAGAAAGAAAATTAAAAAAATTGTTTTTGGCTTGTGTCTAGGGTACATATATAGTTTTAAAAACTAAAATCCATGTTGGGGCACCTGGGTGACTTAGTCGATTAAGTGTCCAACTCTTGGTTTTGGCTCAGGTCATGATCTCAAATTTTGTGAGTTTAAGCCCCATGATGGGTTCTGTGCTGACAGTTCGGAGCCTGCTTGGGATTCTTCCTCTCCCTTTCTCTTTGTCCCTCTCTACCCTCTCAAAATAAATAAACTTAGAAAAATAATCAAAAATAAAATAAAATAAAAATAATAAAAAACTAAAATACATATTCTATTTAGTGCTGAAGCAGAGATACAACTAAAGGCTTTTTTTTTTTTTTTTTTTTTTTTTTTTTTTTTTGTAGAGAAAATAAGGAGCCATTAGAAAAGATAATTGTTTCTCTTCTTTAGGATCTTCACCGCACAGGCTGCAGTTCTTACTGTGGCCAGGAGGCTGAGCAGGACAGGGTTGTGTTAAAACGGGTCCTTTTAGCCTATGCTCGATGGAACAAGAATGTTGGTTACTGCCAAGGCTTTAACATCCTGGCTGCTCTAATTCTGGAAGTGGTGGAAGGCAATGAAGGGGATGCACTGAAAGTGAGTATCAGGCTCTGAAGAGGGCAACTGAAACTGTCTGAGAGTCAAACGTTGGAACTGTAATACCTCTTCCTTGATGACCCACCGCCTTCCGAGGGTTTTGCTGCGCATTTGTAATTACCCATAATAACATTTCCCCCACGTTAAAGCCAGGTCAAATGATGGACTCATGTAACTGCCAAATGTGAGTAGAATCATTATGTTTTTAGTCTTGTTTATGAAACAGCATATCTTTAAAATTTTTTTTAATGTTTATTTTTGAGAGAGAGAGAGAGAGAGACAGAACATGAGTGGGGGAGGGGCAGAGAGAGATGAAGACACAGAATCCAAAGCAGGCTCCAGGCGCTGAGCCGTCAGCACAGAGCCTGACGCAGGACTGGAACTCACAAACTGTGAGATCATGACCTGAGCTAAGGTCAGACGCTCAACTGACTGAGCCACCCAGGTGCCCCTGAAACATCATATTTTTAAAGCAAGTTGAATACTAATTGTATTAATTATCCATTGCTGCATAACAAATTAGCTACTTAAAATAGCAAACATGATTTACCTCATAGTTTCTTGGAGTCAGGAATCTGAGTGCAGCCTAGCTGGCTCAAAGTCATATTGTTGTGACATCAAAACTGTTGGCTGGGTCTGCAGTCTCATCTGAAAGCTCACTTGGGGACAGCATTCACTTCCAAATTTGTTCATGTGGTTGTTGGCAAGATTTAATTTCTCACAGGTTGTTGTACTGAGGGCCTAAGTCTGGCTGGCTGTTGGCTGGAGGCCTTTTTTAGTTCTTTGCCATGTCTCCGTTTCTCAACAAGGCAGCCAGCATCCCTCAGAATAAGAGTAAAAGAGAATGAACAAGGTAGGAGAGATTCATTTGCAGACTTGTAGCCTATTATTAGTTACATTTTCATTTTTGTTACATCCTATTCATTAGAAGCCAGTCATTAGGGCTAGCTCTTACTCAAGGAGAAGGTCTTACACAAGGGTGTGACTACCAAGAGGTGGGACACGAAGGGTCATGTTAGAAACTTCCTACTTTCCCACAAGTTATGCTTAATTCAGGTTGGGTCTTGTTACTGGATTGCTTTACTCTTTCACATATGGGGTGAGGTATGGAGGAGGTAGGCTGAAAGTGAGTGTATATTATGGAAGGTATTTGCATGGAGAAAGGTTGTGGAGGTGAATTATATTATCTTTTAATCTTTGATACCTGGAACCTTTATTTGTTTAAAAAAAAATTCTGGAAACACTTTGAGATGGGTCACAAGCAATTTAAGCTTATGTGTTGGAATGTGAGTCAGTGAATCACCAGAAATAATCTTTATGAGAAATGAAGCATTTCACATGTGCAGGATGACTACTCCCTTATTAGCTTGGGGCAATATGGGGTTGCTAATTCATGTTTGAACTCTCAATCTGCTATTGATTGCAATGCTTTCTGATGGGTGGAATAGATACTTAGTCTTTGTATTCAAGAGCCTCCCCCAACCCCAGCCTTGTGTTTGATTGTGGTAAATAATCTTAATGATATTTCCAATCACTGACTAATGTCATACGGACAAACAAACAAATATTTCTTCTCGTTTTGTATGTATCATGGTGGAATTAATTATAAAGCCAGCCTGACATAGTCTAAATCCGTATTCACCCTTTCACTTTTTCCATTCGCGTATTTAAGGAAACAGCTCTGAAGCTACATGTTCATCAAATAAGTGGGGGAGGGAGGAGCCGGAGACAAATAAATGTATGAATTTAAACGTTTAAAACGTTTTTTATCAAGAAGCAGTTTGGTTTACTCAGTCTATCAGCTTTAGTCAGTTTTTTCTTTTCAGATGTAATTTCTATGCCTATAAAATGAGAACTGTTCTGTTGAAAAGTTAGAATAAGCAATTCAGGTTAGCAGGTGAGGTGGAGTAGTTTGGGGGAGGGGATATACATGCCAATCAAATCATGGAAAGGCTCAGTGATACTTGGGAAACTAAATGCACATAAAAAAGATGGATTAGATAAAGCTGAGGAGCTGCATATTTATATTTCTGCCTCTAAGAAAATGAACTCTGTGAAATGAAATGACATCATCATCATTTAGGAATCTTGTGGTTAGACATTGAATATGCAGAGGAAGATTAGATTCATGAAGAATCATTTCAGATGCAAAGGAAGATATTGGTATCTGTGTTTTTTAGCAGCTATTTTGGCCTCTGCAAATTTTTTTTTTGCAAGTTTTAATTATTAGGCAGATATATAGTTTATTTTAGAAGGAGGTGAACCATTTCCTTGCTTTTCAGCACTTACTGTTTTTTCTTAGTAACTATTTTTAACGACTTGTTAAAATTTTGACGCTCCTTCATTAGTTATTTTTTAAAAAATACATAATTTTTTTAGAGCAGTTTCAGGTTCACAGCAAAACTGAGTGGAAGACACAGATGTTCCATATGCCCCCTGCCCCAACACATGTGTAGCCTCCCCCATTATCACCATCACTTCTCAAAGGTACATTTGTTACAACCCATGAACCTATATCAATGGGTCATAATCACCTAAAGTCTGTAGTTTCCATTAGGACTCACTCTTGGTGTTGTACATTCTGTGGGTTTGGACAAATGTTTAACGACGTGTATTCGTCATTAAAGTGTTTGTAGAGAGGGTGTTCACTGCCCCAACAATGCTCTGTGCTCTGCCTATTCATTCCCCCTGCCCTCACCCCTGGCAACCAGTGATCTTTTAACTGTCTCCACAGTCTTACCCTTTCTAGAAAGTCATATAGCTGGAATCAGAGTATGGAGCCTTTTCAGATTGGCTGCTTTCACTTAGTAATATGCATTTAAAGTTCCTCATGTCTTTTCATGGCTTGATGGCTCATTTATTTTTAGTGCTGAACAATATTCCATTGTCTGGCTGTATGTAGTTTGTTTTTCCATTCACCTACTGAAGGACATCTCTGTTGCTTCCAAGTTTTGGCAGATATGAATAAAGCTTCAATAAACATCCATGTGCAGGTTTTTGTGTAGATGTGAGTTTTCACTTCCTTTGGGTAACTACCAAGGAGTGTGATTGCTGGATCATATGGTAAGAGTATATTCGATTTTGTAAGAAACTTACAAACTGTCTTCCCAAGTGACTATCCAATTTTGCGTTCCCGCCAGCGACGAATGAGAGTTCCTGTTGCTCCACATCCTGGTCAGCAGTTGGTGGTGTCAGCATTCCAGATTTTTGCCATTCTAATAGGTGTGCAGTGGTATCTCATTTTAATTTGAATTTCCCTGATGACGTATGATGTGAAGCATCTTTTCATATGCTTATTTGCCATCCAAACACATCTTTGGTGAGGTATCTGTTAAAGTCTTTGGTCCATTTGATCCTACTGATTATTTTATTTTGAGCTTTCAGAGTTCTTTGTGTATTTTGGGTAATAGTCTTTTATCATATGTGTCTTCTGCAAATATTTGCTCCCAGTCTGTGGCTTGTTTTCTTATCCTCTTGACATTGTCTTTCACAAAACAGAAGTTTTTATTTAAAGAAATCTAGCTTCCCAGTGACTTTTTCCATGGATTGTATCCTTTGCTGTTGTATCTAAAAAGTCATCACCGTACCTAAGATCATCTAGGCTATGCTGTCTTCTAGGAGTTTTATAGTTTTGCATTTTATGTTTAGGTCTGTGATCTATTTTGAGTCATTTTTTTGTGAAAGGTGTAATTTTTGTGTCTAGATTCATTTTTTGGCATGTAGATGTCCACTTATTCCAGCACCATTTGTTGAAGAAACTGTTTTGCTCTATTGCCATTATTTATCCGTTTTTTTTCCCCAATGTGTGGTCTTTGAAATATAGTGATGGGTGGAGTGACATACCTAACAAAACACACAGCTATCTCTTATGTCCTATGTCAGACTTAGAGATGCCTTTGGACAGATAATTTCAATGTGTCATAAGAATTACTATGATAATTGGAAATTTGTTTTTCTTGTTTTGTGTAATTTTGAGAGATCATAGTTTCTTTTTTATTTTTTAATTGCTAACTGCTATCTTCTTTTTTTAAGTTTATTTATTTTGAGAGAGAGAGCAAGGAGGGGAGGGGCAGAGAGGGGGAGAGAGAGAATCCTAAGCAGGCTCCGCATGGCCAGTGCAGGGCTCTGTGCAGGGTTTTAACTCACCAACTGCAAGATCATGACCTGAGCCGAAACCAAAAGTCGAAGGCTCAACCGACTGAGCCACCCAGACACCCCCATGATTTCTTTTTAAAGCTTAAGTGTCTCTCTCTCTATTATATCCTTAGATAGAAAGTGCAGTAATAGAGAGACTCTTACTTTTAAATTTTACCTTTGTGATCCTCTAAGTCCCTCTTCTCCTTAGAAGTAGAGTGCAAGGTCCCCACCAGGATACTCTGTTCTCTCGGACCTCTGCATTCCCCCTCAACTGGCCCCAGTCTCTCTAGGACTTCCTTCCTCCACAGATTGAATATGCTGTACTCCTTTTATTGCTAAACTCTACCTGTCCACTCTTGGAATAAAGGTCTCCGAGGGACCTTCTCAAGAGTATGGCCCAGCCTTATTAGTCAAAACTATGACCCGAAAAAGTAGAAATTACAAGCCAGGGATGAGGGACAAATGGGCCCTTGTCAGGTCTGGGAGATAATTTTCTTGGAAAATAGAGTTTTGTGTAAGACAGAAAAATCAAAATGTGAGACAGCTACTTCTCTACCAACATATAGGGTTAGCTATGATTCTGTTCTTAATCTTGTTTTTCCTGGGCTCTGGGGACTCATTGGTTTTCTGGGGTGGGGGAAGACCTAGCAGAGTGTACAAGCTGATGGGGAAAGAACCGGAGATTGACATATAGAACTCTTGTGTGTTCTGCTCGGTCAATCTAGTGGTTCTTGATATCTTAGAAAAGGTAATGCAAGTAGAAAAGTCAGAATGAAAAGAGTAACTTGAAGAACTTGTGAGACAATCTTATGAGAGAAATCCAGATTTTAGAAATACCGTACATTCACACGAAACCTTGTTGCAGTCTCCTGGGAGAGGAAAGCCACTATCAGTTTCTGAGCTGATGCTAAGTGAATCCTGAGACTTGCTTTAGTTGCAGTGTTTTATGATGGTTCAGCTCTTGGTTTTCATATTAAGGTTGTAAAACTGTGCTGACATCAGGGAGCCAGCATTGAGATTCCTGCTGGCTGCTGATGAAGTACGTGCTCCATCACTTCTGAATGGGGCGGAAGGTTGTATAAGCACAGCTACTTTGGGAGTGAACTTAGGTCTAGTGGCCCATCTAGGAACTTTAGACTGACACATTTAAAGAATGATGTACTTTGGCTAACCGCATTTTTGAATATGTCCCTTCTATTTAGGACATGTTAGGGATCCCAGGTTTTAGGAAGTAATCTTATTCTTTGTATTTTTCTTCAGATTATGATTTACCTTATTGATAAGGTACTTCCTGAAAGCTATTTTGTCAATAATCTCCGGGCATTGTCTGTGGATATGGCTGTCTTCAGAGATCTCTTGAGACTGAAGCTCCCTGAATTATCTCAGCACCTGGATACCCTTCAGAGAACTGCAAACAAGGAAAGTGGAGGTAGTGATGATTCAGTGCTCTTATACCTGTGAAAATATTTTACTTTGATTCCACTGTACATCTGAGCCTAAACCTTGAATGGAAATGCTTGTTTTCAGGTATTTCTGTTAGTGAGAGTACGGTGCAGTGAAATAGATTGCGAGAGAACAAGAATAGAACTGAAAAAATGATAGGGCCACATGCTGAACCTCTAACTGGTCATGGTTAGGAAGTCAGTCAAGAACTTAATACTTTCGCAGTATGAGATCAACAACTGAAATGATGTATTGCACTCTAGGTGAAGAATGGTGTCCATGTCTTACCATCTAGTTACGCTGCTCTAAGCTGGCACCTATCTTATAGGAGTTCTTTAAAACAGAGCGACAGGTACAATTTCACACAGACTACGGTTTTGCCTGAACCATTGAGGCTATGGAGAGAGGAATATGTGTTTTCATTAAGTTTTAGGAGATACGTCAATAGTCTTTTGGATTGAAACGTTTAATTGCTCCTTTTATCTATTCATGGTAAGGGTATTTAGATTTATCAGAGATGAGTGGGTCAGCTCATTCTGGAGAAAGGCTCTCCAGGACGGCCAGCTAGAATCTGCACCCTGAAGGAAGGCACTAGGTTGAGACCGGGATGGAAACTCGGGTCTGTAAGCAGCTCCGAGTCGCTGCTGTCTGGTGGGCATCCCCCAGCTTTCCGAAGCACCCCAGCTAACGGCTGTGAATGTACCCACTGCCTGCACTGCCCTGGCTATGCTCAGGATACCAGGAAAACAGTGAGAGCTTTTCTGTGTTTCCTGTGATCGGTTGCCAGCCCCCCACCCACACATTCAAATCTGGGAAAATTTGAAACGATCTGAAGACCTAATCTGTGATTACAGTACACTGGAAATTTTAGTGACACCTGGGAGTCTCTCGGCATTTCCTTCTAAACCATTTGAATAATCTCATTTAATTTGGCCGTGCAGTGTAATTGTGCACCTGTGTGGATTTCATAGTGCTTCCAGATAGACCACCTTGCCTGTCCCATGTCAGACATGCTTTCCTCGGCCCTACGTTTTCCTCCATAAGTCCTGTACTTGCTTATAAGTGCTGCCCTTAGATTCGAAGTCTCTGAAAAAAGATGCTCCTTTGTTCTTTATGAGAGGAAATGAGAATAGAGCTTTTTTTTTTTGCTTATCCTTGGGTAAATGCACAGTCTGATTAACTTGGAGGGAGGATCAGTTTAAACATCTACATTTTTTATTTCATAAAATACATACTTAATGCCATTCCAGGAAGTAGGAGGGAGCTTTGTGTTTTTGGTGAATTCACAAACTTCATTGTGAGCTGTGCGTATAGTTTAGTTCAAAATATTTTAAAATTTCATGTTGTTTAATCTACAGATACTTTGGGATTTTCCAGCTCTCTTTCTGTTATTTATTTCTAGTTTAATTCCACTGTGGTCTGAGAGCTGTGCATAATTTAAGAAGTAGACAAGTAATTTCATAAGGAGCCTTGTTTTTATCAGTAGCATTTGAATAAAAGTGGGCTTTATGAGATTTTGAAAATTGAATTCAGGTTTTGAGAGGTGAAAAATCCTTTCTTTTAATCCTGTTTTTGGTGAGGAAAACGTTCTCCCTAATTTTTAGCACCATAAAATAAATAGGTAGAGCCAAATAAAGTTTTAGGTTAAGATTTCTGAAATATAAAGAATTTGTGAAGGTTATATTACTGAGATTTTTACCAGACACACTCATGTTCTTCAAAAAAAAAAAAAAAAAAAAAAAAAAAAAAAAAAAAAAAAAAAAAAAAAAAAAAAAAAGAAGGAAAAAAGGAGGAAAGAACCAGAATTAGAGATATGAAGAAATCAGTCAGGAAATGTAACATGTTTAGTGGGCATGGAAGATTGAATGAGGGTATTTTTATATCTTGCAAAACATCACTTCTGAAGAAACATAGAGTATTTGATTCATTTCAGGTGGATATGAGCCCCCACTGACGAATGTCTTCACGATGCAGTGGTTTCTGACTCTTTTTGCTACGTGCCTCCCTAACCATACAGTCTTAAAGATTTGGGATTCAGTCTTCTTTGAAGGTTCGGAAATCATCCTGAGGGTGTCGCTGGCCATCTGGGCAAAATTGGGAGAGTAAGTGATTTCCCCCTTCTGTTCTCTGGTGTGGAGGGCCTTAAGAAGTTCTGTGCTCTAATATGGAAAGCATCTGTATTTAAGTGTGAGCAAAAGAGAAATTTGGGAACTTTGTTGAATTGCTTTAGCTTTCTGAAATCTTAGTTGGCTGATTCTTGATTGTTGGGGGGGGCGTGGCAAATAGAATCTATGTTGGGGAAGGGGGTAAGCTTTTTCAGGTCTGCAGATATCTTCCTCCTCTTCAGTGCTAGTATCCTGGCTGGCTTACTTTTGGCAGCTTCTCCCTGGACTCTAATTGGGAAGAGGGGGAGGGAGAGGAACTTAGAAGAGGAAGATCTGGAGAGGAGTAGGTGGGTTTGTTAGTTAACATTCATGATTTGGATTATTTTTTGAATTTTTATTATTTGTTTAGTTCTGCCTTTCAGGATCACAATAAAATTAAATGAGATAATATGTATAAGGTATCTCTGTGGTGCTTAGTACATAGTCAATAGTAGAACACACAGGGGGCGCCCGGCTGCCTCAGTCGGTAAAGGATGTGACTCTTAATTTCAGGGTCGTGAATTCTAGACCCACTTTGAGTGGGGAGCCTATTTAAAAAAAGGTAGAACACATGGAACTTCTTTCCTTCTATCAAGAATTAATTCTATGACGAAACCTATTACTATTAAACATATTGCCACATAGATGTTATTTACATTTGTTACCAGTAGCAGAACTATAAAAAGGAGGGTATTTTCACCCATCTCTAATATATTATGACTATTACATTAAAATTTTACCTTCTGGGTAATGGAGAGGACAACAGTTATGTTTATAGGACAATTGTTATAGTTAAGATTCAGAGAAGTTGTTAATGTTTCTTTCTTAGAGCTATAAATGACTTGAGTGGGTACTCATAGACAACATGTCAGAAAACTAATAAATCACTGCCAGTGTTTTGTTTCAAAAACCTTTTAACTAGACTTTTTATTTATGATAAGTTGTTTCCTGGGAGACTTGTAGCATTTCATACTTTTTGCAAGAAAGATCCACCAACTATCAATTCAGGGATGTAGAAAGATCATTATTGTGTATAAGTATTTTTAAACATCACATAGCTATCTCATTTGCCTTTGTTTTATCACGCACTGCTTTTCAGCTAGGCAAATAGATGAGTCTTCTGGGGATTTGGTGTGCTTATCTTTTCATTCCCCCCCCAGTATCTATATTTTTCTGTAGTCATGTGTTTCCAACCTACTGTATGCCTGAAAGTCTTTGCACTTTGATGGTTTCTGTGGGTCTGATAGTCCAGTTGCTGGGTAACTAGTGTATAGGATTAAAATAGTGTAGCACTTAACTGTGTGCTGAGTTCTAGTAACCTTTGTGTTAGTTCTTAATTATGGGGCAGGAAGAAAAGAAGCGATTCTGTTTTTACTCCCATCTATCCATTATCTGCAGGATCAGAATTTATCCCTATGGTCCTCCCAGGGATGTCACACTGTTGAAATAATAACAGATACACTTAATATCCAATATTCACGGAGTGCTTGCAATGGACAAGCATTGTTCTAAGCATGCTAGATGTGAAACTAACTCGTTTAGTCCTTGCATTTCATAAGGCAAGGACTGTTATCATCCCCATTTTACAGATGTGGGAACTGAGCCCCAGATAAGTTAAGTAAATTTCCCAAAGACACTCAGTAAGTGGACAGCCTGATTTTGAGCCCAGGTATCCTGACTTTAGAATCTGTACTTTTTTTTTTTTTTTTTAAGATTTTATTAATAAGTAGTCTCTATACCTAATGCAGGGCCTGAACCCACAACCCCAAGATCAGGAGTCGCACGATCCACTGACTGAACTAGCCAAGAACCCCTAGAATCTGCACTTTTAATTATGTGAATCAACGGATAATAAATAGCTATCGTTTATGAAATTCAGGGGATATATGAATCAGACTGGTAGGACTTTAAATGTTTCAGAGTCTTTGCTCACTCCACTTCTACACTTTTTGAACCTGCAACTTGTTCAGCAAAAGGAAGGGCAACCAGTATACATCACCAAGTGCCTACAGTGCCATCATTCTGTCAGGTGGCTTAAACACATTTTCTCATTCAGTTCTTTGCATAATCCTGTGAAGTAGGTAGGATTATTCTCCCTGCCTTTTCAACTGAGAAAGCTACCCCCGGAGGGTTAATTAACTAGTTCATGGTCACACAGCTCATGAGTAGCAGAGCTGGGACTCAATCCTGGATCTTTCTGACTCCAGGGCCTGTATTCTTCCCCACAAACTTTGCACTGGAAAAGTCATGAACAACATCTCCATGGGACTTTACTCCACCAGCTTGGCATTTCTTCCTCTCACTCACACCAGCGGTGCTTTTGGAATATGTAAGCCATGGACTGTCAGCTCACCTTCGCTGGCATCTCTCTTAATGTAGCCTTTCTTCTCTGACCCTATGCTTTGGCCTCATGCCAGGCCTAGCGTGGTGTTTCCTTCCTCGTCTCCCCGCCATACTCTACACTTGCCATGCGACCTCCAGCCAACCTTGCCAAGGGCACATCTGCTCTCACACTCCCTGTTTAGCACCTTTCGGTGACTCTTGCCCTGAGGAGGCTCAGCCGGCATCTGAGGCCTTTGCCATCTGCTGTCTGCGGCTCTGTACCCTGAGCACTTGCTCTCTCCCTCTGGCCACATAGGCCTTCTGGCCAACTTTGGTTGCATGGAGCTCCTTGCAGGGCCTGGAGAGGGGCTGCTGTCTCCTGCATCCATGTCTTTAGAATGCTTTTTCTTTCTTGTCAACCTGGAGGATATTTTTCAGAACTCATCTGAAGCATTATTTCTCTTCCTCACCCTCTAGGGTAAACGTAACCACTTTTTCAGTTATGCCCACATGCCACTCTGTATCTTTGTAATAGCACTTCAATGGTCTATTTCATTTACTGGCAGTGGGATTGGAGAACACTCCAGAACCTGAAGTTTTTCCATCATTATATATTTTTTGGATGGCTCCGTGGAAATTCCCTGACATTAGTGCACGTCAAAGAGAAGGTCTTATGTCGGTGGGCAAATAAAATTATCCTACTATCCAAAAAACATTGTAATAAATAAAACAAATACAGAGTGCTCTTTGCTTTAGACTATTAAATTTTTTTCCCTTCTAGAAGAAGGTTGAAAGTATAACCTGCCTTATAGGTTGCCAAGCGACGGACTTTTTTTTTCTCTCTTTCTTTTTAATATTTATTTATTTTTGAGAGAGAGCACAAGCTGGGAAGGAACAGAGAGAGAGGAGACAGGGGATCCAAAGCAGGCTCTGCGCTGATAGCAGTGAGCCTGATGCAGGGCTCCAACTCACAAACTGTGAGATCATGACCTGAGCTGAAGTCAGACCTCACCTGACTGAGCCACCCAGGTGCCCCGACAGATTCTTATTTATGTATAGAAGCACATGCAGGAAGCCGGATGTAATCTCCAACTAGCAGCAGTGTCCTGAGAAGAAGTGAAAAATTTCTGCCTGTGAAAACATCCTGTGGATGGTGAAATATACAGAGAAAGTCGTATTTTTCACTTTCCTTTCTACTGTGGCTTGGTTTCATTTTTACCAGTGATCTCCTCATTTGTAGATTAAAAGCCCCAGATTCCCTACAGGGGATAATTGTTCTTTAGTACCCAATTTTGTGGTCCTTAGATCTGATCGGTGGTAGGCATTCTGCTGTGTAGACAGTGTCAAATAAAAATAATAAAGATGCCACAGGTGGGGCTGTGAGGCTGGGGAGCAGGTAAGAAAGATGAGAGCTCACCCTGTAATAAGTACATCTACGTTGCCTTTGGTATTTTTTAATCTTTTCTCTGCATTCAGCAAAGATGGGTTTATTTGGGAATAACAGAGAATTTCAAGCCAGGACATGCAAGCTACGACAAAGCCATAGACAAGTTCCCAAGAGTGTGGTTTTTGTTGATTGCTAACTTGATTAATTTAATGGCAAGAGGCACTGTATCCTGTTGCAACTGCAGTATATGCCTGATAAACAACACGGGTGTCCTAAATAATTCCTTTTTCTGTTCTTTCTTTATCTAGGCAGATAGAATGCTGTGAAACAGCTGACGAATTCTACAGCACCATGGGACGCCTTACCCAGGAGATGCTAGAGAATGACCTTCTGGAAAGCCATGAACTCATGCAGGTGAGTGGGCAGCATGGCCCCATTTTGGCTCTGGGAATGCTGGGTGCTGTGGGAATAGGCAGTGTCACAGCAGCAATTTTGGGAAATATGTTTGGCCAGCCATCAGATTTAGTTTTTCATTTGACCAAGAGTCTATATATAATTTGATAAGAATCTCACTGTGTCACAAGAGGAAGGAAGAAATGAATAATGGATATTTGTTATACTTCCATTCAAGCTGCGTTGCTTAAAAATCATAACGTGCAATCCAACCTCTAAACCCCACCCCCGCCCAAATTACCAGGTACTTCTTCTGAATCTGATTCTTAACCTTCATAAAGGGAGACTTGTGGGGCAACATATTATTTTGAGGGAGAAATTATTGAGGGTTGAAAAGGAAATTATTCTTTAAAAAATTTTTAAAATGTTTGTTTTTTTATATATAGAATAGTGGGGGAGGGACAGAGACACAGGGACAAAGAGAATCTCAAGAAGGCTCCATGCTCAGCACGGAGCCTGAGTGGAGCTCGAGCCCATGACTGAGATCATGACCTGAGCCAAAATCGAGAGTCAGACGCTTAGCCAACTGAGCCACCCAGGTGCCTCTCCACCAAAAGAGATTATTCTAATCAGTGTTTTGGTAATTTGTTTTACTCATATATTCTACTCATGTTGTTCTATATTAATCATAATATAAAAAGACTTGAAGGGTTTTGTTATTTTCTGGCATGTTATTATATCTCACTATCATATTCACCAAGGCATTTAAAAGCGATAGTGAGTATAAAAAAGATAACAGATTTGTTAACATTCTCTCTTGCATTAGGTTCTGTAACATGATTTTATCCTTATTCTCCTCTGATGCTTCTGACTACTGCTTCTCTTCCTGGTTGTTCCTTTTGCCCACCGACCAACTCTGGGTCTTGTCCAAGGTTGCCCTAGGGCCTTAGTTTCTTCTTTCTCTGTGATTTCTCTTTCTTTTTTCTGAGTTTCAACTTTTACCTTTATGTTGGGTTCCATGCATGGGGTTATGTTTGGGGGTGCTGGGCCAAGTCAACAAATTGGAAAATGAAGACTCAGGCCCTGACTTCGGGCTTGAGAAGCGAGGAGTTTCCATTCCTTTGCTCATTTCCTGGCACTTCCAGCTCCTTCTCAGAATCCCTTATGTTTGAAGAATGTTGACCACCTGATAGAACTGCCCTGAACATTCATACATTTTTTAAAATATATGTATTTTTTTCATTTATTTATTTTTGATATAGAGAGACACAGCACAAGTCAGGGAGGGGCAGAGAGAGAGGGAGAGACAGAATCTGAAGCAGACTTTCAGCACAGAGCCAGACTCGGGGCTCGAACTCACAAACCGTGAGATCATGACCTGAGCTGAAGTCTGACGCTCAACCGACTGAGCCATTCAGGCACCCCTTCATATTTTTTTATTTCAACTTTTCTTTGCCTTCTCATCTCTTCTTTCTTCTTTCCTGTCTGTCTCAGAGGAAGAAGACAGACTGTGTTCTGTGTGATGCTGACGTTGGTGCTATGATCCCGACTCTTCTCACACATCTCAGGGCTATTGCTTCATCACTCATTCTGTCTCTGAGGGAAGTACCTCTTTTTGAACATGGCTCTGTGTACAAGGTCTGTGCTTGGCATTTTCCACATATGGGATCCTTTACGTCTCACGGAACTGCCTGATTCATCTGCCCAAGGCAGCACTCTAGGATATTGTCCCTTCCCCCTCGCTCATGAAACTTTGTTGGCTACTCATTGCCTACAAAATGAAGCATGGATTTCTCAACTTATCATCCAGTGCTCTCGACTGTCCTAGCTCCTCCCTTTCATACCCTTTTCTTATTCTGGTCAAGTCAAGCTGTGCTCCACGCTCCCAGGAATCCCTGGGAATATGCCTTCTCTGTACCTGTGCCCCCTCTGTTCAGGCTTTCCTATCTACCTTCACATGATTAAGGCCTGCCTCCTCATGAAAAGTTCCAGTTCAGATGCCCTCTCCTTTGTGAAGCATTCTCTGATAGTCTCAACTAAAATCATCTCCCATTTCTCTGAATCACTGTGGCATTTTCTTTGTACCTCTCTTGTGAACATTCTTACATTCTACTTTGATTTAAGACTGTATCTTAAATCAGTGATTTATCTTAAATCAGTAATATCCTCAGTGATATTTAAAAAAAATTTTTTTAAGTTTATTTATTTTTGAGGGGAGGTGCAGAGAGAGAGGGAGACAACAGAATCCGAAGCAGGCTCCAGGCTCTCAGCTGTCAGCACAGAGCCCAATGCAGGGCTTGAACTCATGGACCACGAGATCATGACCTGAGCCAAAGTCAGATGCTTAACCGACTGAGCCACCCAGGCACCCCCTCAGTGATATTTTTAAGCTCCTTGAGGACAGAGCCTGTGCTTTGCTCATGAACACTTAGCACTTTGCCTTTTACTACAGCTGCTCAATAAATTTATTACTTCATTAAGCAAACATCTGTTGAGAGTCTGAGATTAATTTCCTGCCTTCTCTTTTTCAATAAATGTTTGCTGAATTAAACAACACTTATATGGTGGCCCTCCTTCCAGATTCCCTCTGCTCTAATACATTGGCATTTTGCTGCCAGAGTGATTGCCCACACTGCTTTGGTCATTTCATTGTTCTTCATAATGCCTTCAGTGCTTCCTTGTTACTAACTACAGTAAATAAAATGCTTCAGCCTAGTTTTCTAGGTCTTATATTAACTTCTCCAAACATTTTTGAGCATCTCTGTCAGAAGACTTCCTTGAGGAAATGATTGTGTGGTTTTACCTTTTAAAGATGGAGTTGGTCAGGCTCTATGTATGTGTGTGTATATGCGTGGGTGCATGCACATGTGAGGTGTGTGTGTGTGTGTGTGTGTGTGTGTGTGTGTGTGTTGAAGGCAGTGGTGCAGAGCAGAAAGGGAAGTCATGGTTGAGGAAGGGGCACAAGCAAAGACATGGCAGTGGAAAACTTTACAGTGTGTGAAGGAAACTATGAGCAGTTTGGTATTTGGTGTGGATATGGAGGACCACAACCTGTGGTAAGGATTGGACTTGACCTTTTAGGTCAGAGGTTGTGAAATTGTGCTTGCTGGAATTCTAGGGGTTCTGTGGAGCCTTTGGAAAGGGAAAAAGAAGACCTGAAACATTTTAAGGAGAGAAGGAAAATGGTCTGAGTTGTGGCTTCTGTCAGATACAGGGGCAGCTCAGCGAAGGGTGGACTTGAAAGGGTCAAGTCTGATAGCAGGAGCCCGTGAGAGGCAATGAAGGGTAGAAACAAGGATGGAACAGAGACAGTACTTAGAAGGCGAAATTGATGGGACTTGGCCACGGAAAATGGATATGGGGTGAGGGAGAAAGAAATGGGGAGACAACGGCAACCCACAGGTTTCTGGCTTAGGAGGAAGAGCATAAAAGTTTATCCGGGGCAGAAATAGGGTTTGTTTAGAGACAGATTGCATTGGAGGTGCATTCTTGCTGCTCTGTTCCTTACCTGTCGAAGGTGTTCCCCGACTGGAACCTGTTGCACTGGGCGGAGGTCTGTTGCTACCCGGCCCTCTCTGTTCATACCCGTTCCTGTGAGAGGGCTTGTGGTTCCCTCTGCCACTTTCTGTGAAAAATGGTCTGCCCACCAGGATCCTACTCAGTCTCTTCTCCACCCCCCCCACCCCACAGCCTCTCTTATCTCAGCCCTTATTGACGAGCCTTCCTCCATATTCTTTCAGTACTTAAGATTCTCAACGACTGATTTAATGCCAATTACAGATTATTTTATATTATTTGGTGTTTTTTCAAGTGTGTTAATCTTATTCTCTAATGAAGTAGTAAGTTCCTTAATGATAAGGGCCTCCTTTTACTCTGTATCCCCATAACACCTAGAGGAGTGGTTGGTTTTTTAGCTTTATTTACTTTTGAGAGAGAGAAAGAGAGCGAGTGTGTGCGAGCAGGGGAGGGGCAGAGACAGGGAGAGAGAGAGAGGGACAGAGGATCTGAAGCGGGTTCTGCATTGACAGCAGCAAGCCCAATGGGGGCTCGAACTCATGAACTGTGAGATCATGACCTGAGCCGAAGTCGGACACTCAACTGACTGAGCCACCTAGGCACCCATAGAGTACTAAGAACCTATCCGGTTATGGGACGCCTGGGTGGCTCAGTCGGTTAAGTGTCTGATTCTTGATTTCGGCTCAGGTTATGATCTCGTGGTTATGGGATCAAGCCCCAGAGTTGGGCTCTGTGCTACACATGGAGCCAGCTTAGGATTCTCTCTCTCCCTCTCCTTCTGCCCTTCCCCTGCTTACACTCTCTCCCTCTGTCTTTAAAAAACAAAAACCAAAGAATACACCTGGTTGCTCACTGAATACACAGACTCCTAGAACATTAGAACTCGAGGCAGTGTTTTTCACACTTGACTATGTATGAGAAACTGCTCCAGAGTGTGTTAGAATGTGGACATTTAGTTCATCGGTGGTTCTGATGCACCATGGTTCTGATATGGTGTTTTGTTTTGTTTTAATTCTTTTTTTTTTTTTTAACATTTATTTTATTATTGAGAGAGGGAGAGACAGAATATGAGCTGGGCAGAGAGAAGAGGAGACACAGAATCCGAAGCAGGCTCCAGGCTCCAAGCTGTCAACACAGAGCCCGACGTGGGGCTCGAACTCACAAACTGTGAGATCATGACCCGAGCCGAAGTTGGACGCTTAACCAACTGAGCCACCTGGGCGCCCCTGTTTTGTTTTAATTCTTAAGTTAGTTAACATACTGTGTAGTCTTGGCTTCAGGAGTAGAAGCCAGTGATTCATCACTTACGTATTAACACCCAGTGCTCATCCCAACAAGTGCCCTCCTTAATATCTGTCACCCATTTAACTCATTCTCTCACTCACTTTCCCCCTCATCAACCCTCAGGTTTTTTTTTTTTTTTTTTTTTTTCTGTATTTAAGAGTCTCTTATGGTTTGCCTCCCTCTCTGTTTTGATCTTATTTTCCCTACCCTTCCCCTATGATCATATGTTAAGTTTCTTAAATTCCACATATGAATGAAATCATATGATATCTGTCTTTCTCTGACCTGATGTAGCTGGTTTTTAAACAACACTTAGGGAGGCACTGGTTTAAAAGAAGCTTAAAGATCAACTAACCTAATTCTGTCACTTGATAGAGAGTGAGCTTATGGCCAGTTTTTTAGATTGTCCAGTGGCAGACCCAGACTGGGAGCCAAGTCCCCCTCTCCTGGGCTACTTTTCCCCTACCACCAGCCCACCGCTTCCACGTTAGTCGAAACGTGTCTTTCCCGAAGCTGAAATCCCCTTTAGAAAAATAAGGCAGCATTTTGTTTCACTTAAACATTGCCAGAGCGAATGAGAGGTATGTTGACACACGCCATCTTTGTCCTATAGAAATTTCCAGTCTTAGGTATTAGGAGAAAAGACAACCACCTCTTTACCTTGCTGTGAGAGAATCCTAGAAGGAAAAATACCTACCGGCTGTGGTTTGATCAATTGGATGCCATTTTAGCGGCTTTTCTTCCGCACAGGAAAACATCTGGATGGAGATGAACTGAGCCTAATTTTGTACAACTCATGTTTTCGTGTTTTTTGTGAAGCATGTCAGTAATGAAAAATACAATTTTGTTTTCAGCGGTACCTAAATATAAATGTCTATTTAAGTGTACTTTGGTAGTTTGAATAGTAAGTTGACTTATTGGTTTTCCTTGGCATCATGGAGTGTTATGGAGAGAAATGGTGAATGTCATTTCAAGGCACTCTGTTTTCTTTATTCACTCTTTTTTAAAAAAAAATTAATTCAGTGGCTGGGATCCAATTATGGTGGGCCATAAATCTGTCAGCAAACCTGAAATGGCTCCAGATGAAAAATGTGGGCTGTGCGTAAGGTCTTTATTTTTGAGCTGAAAGACAGGGAAGGATTCTCCCTGGTGGTCTTCCCAATTTCTTTCCATTCTAAGTGCCACACACAAAATCTGCTGGGCTTTTTCCTTCTGTAAATCATATCACTTTTTTTTTTTTTTTTAAGTAGCAAGGGCTGTTTTTAAAAAATTGGTGGTGTCTGAAAAAGACATTGGGAGAATGCCAGTGAAATAGCGGGTGTGGATTTCAGTGAGACTTTGGACAAAATCTCTCATGACTTCCTTGAGGGCAATAGAGAGAAAAATCAGGTGCTGTTGTTAGAAGGGTTTGTAGGTGCTTGGGACAACCTACCTCAAAGTGTATATCAGTAATTATTGTTAACCTGGGGGGAGCTCTCATGTGCTGTGAGGCAGGATCAGCCCTTGGAACGTTCACTTTTTTCCATCAGTGATGACATGGAAATTACAAGGATGTGGGTGCTTGTCTGATAGAAGGATAATGTTTGCTTAATTAGCGCTGTCAAAAATTGAAACCGTCTGCCCTGCAAAATAGTGTGTGCCCACCATTGGAAGGGTTTCAGTGCTGCCTTTGTGACCATCTGTTGGAGAGTCTCTAGAGGGAACTTCTGCTTGGGAAGGTGGCTGAACTAAATTATGTTTACATTCCATTCTAACCTGAAGATTCTATTAGTGTACCATATTTGGCTCTAAAGTGATTAGTAAAATTCCTTTCTTGGAATCCATTGTAAATCTCTGATTTACAACGTTGGAAACCAGAGCTTCTCAGGTACCCTGAGGACTATAGTGATGTGTGGTGTACATTCATGGCATAAACTCGCCTTCAGACGTGAGACCTTCGACTAAGTGAGTTGAATATATGTGAAGAGGTGCTATAAACACATTTTTTTTTTTTCCAGGAGCACTGATTTCTTCTTTGAAGGATTAACTAAAAGTAAAGGATAGAGGAAGATAGACCAAAAAATAGAAAATGAAGGCACCAATGCAGCCAGGTTTTTGTTTTTGTTTTTGTTTTTGTTTTTGTTTTTTTTTTGTCAGATGTCTGAAGCTGAGTGGCTCTTGAAGGAGCTTGCTAGGAGCCCAGGCCAATTACTCTGGGGCAGGACGTACTTCCCATACTGTTCTTACCAGCTTCCTTCATGAGGCTGGACAAGGGAATATTTTAATGATTTTTTTTATGAAACTGACAAAAATAAAACACAAGAGAATCTTCACCTGGTCACCCTACTAATTGTCTTCAATGAGACATCTTCATTCATAAGGAAATTTGAAATTCCTATCATTAATAATTTCATCTTAAAAAAATTTTTTTTAATGTTTATTTATTTTTGAGATAGAGCACAAGCAGGGGAGGGACAGAGGGAGAGGGAGACACAGAATCTGAAGCAGGCTCCAGGCTCTGAGCTGTCAGCACAGAGCCTGACATGGGGCTCAAACCCACGGACTGCAAGATCATGACCTGAGCTGAAGTTGGATGCTTACTGACTGAGCCACCCAGGCGCCCCAATAATTTCATCTTTTAAACTTGAATCCCAATGGTATGGGTTTCTCTTTTTAAATTATTAAGGTGTAGTTGACATAGTGATTTTAGATGAATGGTTTCCTGGGAGAAGTGAAACTTAGGTGATTAATATACATTTTCTGGAGAATAAGTACTTGAAGGATTAAAGGAAAGCATTTGGAACAATTAAGCTTTAATAAAATTAAGAGAGCAAACGTGATTACTTTCCTCCTGCTGGTAGAATGATATATAATTTTGAAATTCTGGAGGAAGCACAGGTGCTTTTCCCATTTTTATTTATAGATTTTTAACAGCCTATGCTTTACACCCTGTCACTTTTTTCTTTCTTTCTTTTCTTTTTTTGTTTTTAAATAACAGCTAACAATTTTCACCTCGAACTCATTCACAGACATTTGAAAAGGTGGTATCTTTGGAGAAAGCTTGCGGCTGATCACACGATCACCCACTAGATTTAATGTTGTCCAGATGACGTTGAATGTCTATAAAAGTCGTCAAGCAAAGCTTTGAAAAACAAGCACTGCATATGAGCATCACCAATGGGTTCTTTGTTAAAGAAATAATAGAGAGCTGTGAATTTCTGAGTTAACCCACCTGTCAGTTGAGCCCAGAGGAAGTCAGACTGCCCCCATCTGCCACCCATGTTCACCACTTGGAATACCCAGTCACGGCTGGATTGATTTGAGAAACGAGCATTGTGTTCCTCAGTATTCTTTTGTCTTTCTCTAAAGGGGATAATGAAGTAGAATCTCTCCACCTGCTGTGTGAGAAGCAGAATCTACCTCTTTACACCCAAATCATAGAACTTTAATATCTTTCCAGGATTGAGAAGAGTTGTTTAAGGCCATCGTTTTAGAGTTGACATTTTTGCTTGTGTTTTTCAGACTGTTTATTCTATGGCTCCATTCCCTTTCCCACAGTTGGCAGAACTGAGGGAAAAATACACCTACAACATTACACCATTCCCAGCCACAGTTAAACCCACCTCAGTTTCTGGGTAAGGTCTTTTCCCCCCCTTGTTGTTTTCATGATGGAAGACTTAATATCTTAATGTGTTGGTGTAACTTCATATTTGTTAAGCCCCAGATATATCTATTCAAAGTAGTTTGGTACTTAAAATCTGAATGTTTCTTTCCCAAAGGTTTTGATTTAAATTCAAGACAGAGATTTTTAAAACCGTACTTTCCAAAGAAGATTGGAACATAAACTGAAGGAATATTTAGAGACCCCACAACTTATTTAAAAATGTCAAATATTAAAAATTTCAATAATTAAAATAGTATAGAACAAGTGCATGAAGAGGCAGATGGCCTAATTTAAAATGAGAAGACAAGAAATTGACAAATATATATTCCTGTATAGGAATTTAGTGTTTGAAAACTTAACGTATCAAATCAATAGTGAAAAGTGTATTTAAATAGAAAAAATGAAATAATAAAACTAGCAGAAGAAAGTGTGGAAGAATGTCTTTAGTTCTTTGGAATTGGAAAGGTCTTAATAATGGACTCAGAAACACAAGGGAAAAAGTTAAGTAGTTGAAAAATAATTTTCTGCATGACTAAAAACAGAACAAAACAAAACCTTCATAAGCAGGCGCAAAAATATTTTCTGAAAAAATATTTGTAATTGCAGTCTCTCATGTATGAAGTTCCTAGAAATCAGTAAGAAAATGGCTGCCCAACTGAGACACGATGAAAGGATGGGGATTGGTAGTTTATGTATAAAAGGCAGCATCGGTTGTATGAAGAGAAATGCAGCCTAGAACTAGATTGAGACTATGTTTTTATCTGTCAGATTGACACAAATTCAGAAGGTGGATGTGCACTCTGTTGGTGACGCTATAGGGGGACACTCTTGCACAGTGCAGGCGTAGCGCATTGCTGCAAGATTTGTGGCGGGCAATTTGGCAGTGTTTCCCCAGATTACTAGTGCACATATCCTTTGACCCAGCAATTCTACCTTTATGACTTATCCCACAGATGTATTTGTACACCTGCAAAGCACAGTCTGTATAAGGTTATTTATTGCAACATTGCTTATAACGGTATAAGATTGGAAACCACTCAGGTGTGTATTGTCAGTGGCCTGGTTCCATTACATGGGCTACATGCACACAGTACAGTGCAGCTGTACAAAAAGGATGAGAAAGCTCTGTGTGTGAACGTGGAGAAAGTTTTAGGTACATAGAAGCAAGGTGCAGAAGAATGTATACAGTATGCTAATAATTATGCAAAAGGAAGAGAAAAATAAGACTATAGTTATCTTTGCTTATCTATGCAATAAAGAAACTGAAGAACGCATAGAAATTAGTAGCAATGGTCACCTTTGGGAATTAAGTAGGGCAAAGGCAGAAGTTGGACAGGGATGGGAGAGAGACTTTTTATGTATGTTATATTCATAGTTATATATAAAAATTAAACCATGTGACTGTATCATTTATTTTTCAAAAACACCACAATTTTCTTTGAATATTTCTTTTTCTTTTATGTTTTCCAAGACGACATGGTAAGGTCAGAGACAGTGATGAAGAGAATGACCCAGACGATGAAGATGCTATCACTAATGCAGTGGGGTGCCTTGGACCTTTCAGCGGGCTCCTGGCACCCGAACTGCAGAAGTACCAAAAGCAAATTAAAGGTAAAGAGGTCGCTTTCTATTTAGATGATCTCAATGTGTTGGGTCACTATAGCAAAGGTATTATCATTGTGTCTGATCAGTGACTACTGTTTCCTCACCTGGTTACCACTATTCAAGGTCTTTGTTAAGTGTCTTCTGTGCTACTCTATCATGTAGTAGGATCTCTCTGTTATGTGTTACACACATCATACCTATATCTTTTTCTTATGTGTTTTGCCTACAGTTTATCTGATTCCACTTCGTATGCTCAGTTCCTTAGCCTGGAACCTGGCATATAATAGATGTTTACCACATTCTGTTTGAATTTAATTGATACAGAATGGCTTCTTTTCCACTATAGAAATACCCTCTGAATCTAAAACATTATGGTAGCCTCTCCTTGAATTTGAGTGATTAGAAACTCATTATCTCATAGGACATTCTGCTGGATCCCTCTGCTTAGCCCATGGTTTCTAGTTGAGAAAAGATCATCTCCACCTACCAGCTCTTTTAATAGTTCTTTTGAACAAAAGACAGCAAGTCTACTCCCTCTTTTATTGGATATCTCTTGAAATCTTTGAGGACATCCATCATGTCCCCCAAATCCTTGTCTATGGTCCAAGATCAAAATTTTTCAGAAGGGATGACTTCCAGAACTTTTGATATTCTGTATATTCACCTTTTAATGTCCTGTAGTGTCCCTCTTAAAAAGTGGTGCTCTGAATTGGATGCTATACTACATTTGTTTTTCTCTTGTAGAGAATGGACTTTTTGTGGTCTGGACACCATCGACGTAATGAACTTTTTAAGTTTTTTTGTTGTTTTGTTTTTTGTAAATTTTTGAGGCGCACACACACACACACACACACACAGCATGAGCAGGGAGGGGGAGAAAAAGAGGGAGACACAGAATTGGAAACAGGCTCCAGGCTCTGACCTGTCATTATAGAGCCCAGCGCAGGCCTTGAACTCCCTGACTGTGAGATCATGACCTGAGCAGAAGTCAGACACCCAACCGACTAAGCGCCCTGGGTGCCACAATTCTTGTCAGTTTTAACTAAGTTCAGATTAGCAGGACCCCTTTTAATTTTCTTCTCCTTTTTTTTTTTTTTAATGTTTATTTATTTTTAAGAGAGAGAGAGAGAGCATATGCAAGCAGGGAAGGTGCAGAGAGAGAGGGAGACACAAAATCCAAAGCAGGCTCCAGGCTCTGAGCTGTCAGCACAGAGCCCAGTGTGGGGCTCCAACTCATGAACTGTGAGATCATGACCTGAGCCAAAGTCGCACACTTAACCAATTGAGCCACCCAGGCACCCCTTAATTTTCTTCTCCTTAAAAATGTGTTTTCCATAAAAAAGGAAGTAAATTTGTCTGATGTTTAAGCTTTACCTGAATAACAGTTTCAGCAGATGCTATGATAGTTGAAATCCTCCACTAATTATTTTTTTAAAAGCGGTTCCCAGGCCGTTTTACACACTGTGCTAGAAAAGCCTATGTAGTGTGTCTGCCCTCACACAGTGCTTATTTCTACTTCTCAGATGTAATCTCAATTTCATTTAAGGGACAAATCTGCTAGTTGTAGGTGTCACAGGAGCAGAAACCACATCAGACAAAACACACATAGGCAGGAAATGTGTATTAAATGAATAAAAACATTTCTAGTGATGCAGTGATTCAAAGTTTTGATATGTTTTTTTAAAATATTTGAGAGAGAGAGAGAGAGAGAGACAGAGCGTGAGCAGGGGAGGGGCAGAGAGAGAGAGACACAGAATCCAAAGCAGGCTCCAGGCTCTGAGCTGTCAGCACAGAGCCCGATGCAGGGCTCAAATTCACAAGCCATGAGATCATCACCTCAGTCGAAGTCAGATGCTTAACTGACTGAGCCACCCAGATGCCCTGAAGTCTTGATAATTTTATAGAATGTGTTGCTATTTTTAACTTAGGAAAAACTCACTTTTAATGATGGTCTAAACTCTATGAACAGTCAATTCCTTATAAATCCTCATGCAGTTATATGCAAATCTGTCAACTGACTTTAGACACCTGGAGTTATATTTTCCTAAGGGAATTTTAGAAAAAGGCAGTGATATTTATGTGGAAACAGTTGTTCTTATGTCTACAGAATGAGCAAAGTGCTAATAAAATCAAACAGTGAACCCACACAGCTCATTTCAGACCCACAGTTAGGCTAATCAGAAAATGCAGAAATATTTTCAGGACCAAATGAAAACCAGTACAACAAACTGGAGCATGCATTTTTTTTTTTTTTTTTTTTTTTTTTTTTTTTTTTTGTGGTTAGAATTCCCTGGAAGTTAAGATACCACACTACTGGGGCACAGTGTAATCTTTCTCCTCCATGTCCGTGTCTCTCTCCTCTGGAGTGTAGAACCAAATGAAGAGCAGAGTCTGCGGTCTAATAACATTGCAGAGCTGAGTCCAGGAGCGATCAACTCTTGTCGAAGTGAGTACCACGCAGCTTTCAACAGTATGATGATGGAGCGCATGACCACGGATATCAACGCGCTGAAGCGGCAGTATTCTCGGATTAAGAAGAAGCAGCAACAGCAGGTTCATCAGGTGTATATCCGGGCAGGTAATGTGATTCTTTGTTTGAATCAGTTTCCCCTCTGTGTCTTGTGAAGGAAGGAACCATACTCCTAGGATCACTTCGGTATTGCAACCCTGTAGCTCAGTATCCACAAACACTGCTGGCATGAGGAAATGACCTATTTAGTATCCCCTTTCTTATTTTATTAGGCTCTACAGAAGAAAAAGACCATGGGTCCCTTTTAGGTACCAAGAACCAGGCACTTGATGGTATTAAACACGTCTGTACTATGTGTGCTTGTGGAGAGGGGTTTACAAATGATGAAACTGTTGCAAACGCCATGCAGTCCTTGGACTTGAGACATTTTTGAGCTCTTGCTTCCTAAATTTTAGGCATTTGAAAATGGAATCTATTAATCTGTGCACTAGTAAATTAAGCTATCCACTGGTCATTTAGGTAGTAATATAACAGAAGTTGTCATCAGAGAAAAAGGAAAAAACCATTCCTGTGCCTCACCGATGGGTTAGCGGGGTCTTTCTTGGGGATCTGCCGAGAAGAGCAAAATTGGATTGAGGTTGGAAATACTCTTTTCCAAGGACTGTCCAGCTGCTTTTTTTGTTTTCTTTTTAAATTCCACAAATCCCAGTGAACAGTCTGCTTTGTGATTTAATACACGCTGATTTGGGAAGTGGTTTGTCTTGTTCTAAGTGAAATCCTAATGAAAATGATGCCTGTCCTGTGTTAAAATGAAGTTGACTTGGGAGCACGTGACTGATCTTGCACAAAAACTGTACTTACCTTCCACTTACGGGGGAGGAGCGGGTTAACTTCCTGAATGTTTTTACTTTGACTTGAATCATTAAGAGGGCATTCACAAAAGAAACAACTCTAGCACTTTAATTTTAAAAACACTGGCTCAAAGATATCCTCATTTTTGTCCTTAAATGAGGCAGGTAAGGATGGATATGCTTATGTCCTTTTAAAAGATGAGGAAATTGACTCAGGAAAGCTTAGCAGGGTTGTATAGCGATGGTCGGTGGTCAGGCCAGGGCTAGAACCCCGTGTTCTGATTCTTTACATAGTCCCTTTTTCACTTGCGCCCTACACATCTGTGGGTGTGATGGTGAACAATTGTCGGTGGGTATTAAATCAGCCCAGTGTCTTGTGCTGTAGCTAGGGGGTCAGTAAACTGTGTTCCACAGGCCACATCCGGCTAGCTGCCTGTTTTTGTAACTAAAATTTTATTGGAATACAGGCATGCCCCCTTATTTACATATTGCCTATGACTGCTTTTGCACTACAAAAGTCTAAAATATTTACATATTGTCTATGGCTGTTTTTGTACTACAGAAGTCTAAAATATTTACAGTCAGGAAAAGTTCGCTGACCCTTATCTGGATCATGGTTTGTGTGGTTCCTTTTAGGGAGATTGTTGCTCAAAGACAAAGAGCATTGCTTTTGAAACTTCAGTGTGCATGTAAATCACTTGGGGATCTGTTAAGATGAAGAGTCTGTTTCAGCAGCTTTGGGGTGGGGCTGAGATGATGCATTTCCAACAAGCTCCTGGGTGGTGCCAGTGCTGCTGGGTGGGGATCACGCTTTGAGTAGCTTTTAGAAGGGATGGTATAAGAGGATTAGCAGTGCAGGTGGAGAGGGTGCGCTTGACTTCAGCTTCTGAGATGTGAAGGAAGGCGGTGAGGATGGCAGTTGAGGTACCAGCTTCCCAGGTTAAGGAGGACGGGAAGTTGGGGCCTTTTGGACCCGGTAGCTTCTGTTTTTTGTGGAGAAATCGGAGGAAAAGTTGTTTGATTTGGAGGAGTAAGTTGGGGAAGTTGTAGGAGCGTAGAGAAAGCAATGAAGATTTGGGTAGGTCATCGAACGGAATGGAAGAGGGAAAGAAAAGGGTTGTTCAGTGGCTTTGAGGACCCAACAAAATAGGAAGTTATGAATCTGAAGGGCTTTCAGTCCACATGTCTGTGTGATTTTTTTTTTTTCCCTCCCTTTTTGGAAAAGATAAAAATCCAGGGTTGGGATTTTGCCAGGCATAAAGAGATAGGGGTGTCTAGAATGTGGTTATCGGTGAGGCAGCATCCTGGTGATCAGCCATGCATCTAGCCGGGGAAGGAGTGCAAGTGACTCACACATAGACAAGGGGTTATGGGAAGTTTGAAAGATGAGAGAACCCAAGTCTCTGGTTCAGTACCATGTATAGTTATATCGAGAACCTGAGAGCCAGGAGAGCCAAAGAGAAGAATCAGAGACTTAAATATTTTTCAGGTAAGATAGATCTGGGTGATGAAGTTTCGGATGGAATTGGGGAGGCTGAGGAAGTATGAGGATGGGTCAGTCAGAGAAACAGTCATGCAACTGAGGGAGGTAGTAGGGTATGGGATGGAGAGGAGACTGTAGTCAACATTTTCAATAAAGACTGGAGTGTGACCCAAGGTACGTGAGAGCAGTCGAGAAGCGTAGAGGTGAGCTCAGCCAGATGATAGGGATGTCAGGAGGAAGGAAGGTTGCTCACACAGAGTTGGTAGGGCCTTCTCCCTACTGCTTCTGCCTGCTGTTGTCATCTCTGGGGCCATGTGTGTTTGAGCGTCATCTGAAATAGAGGCTTGGTCGTAGCCACTGGAGGAGGACGACAGGAATACTATCACCAGTGCCCTCCAGGAGAGCACGGCTTTGGTGCTCTCCAGTTTCAGTTTGCTTTCAAAGTCCATTGAGGACACAGGAGTGCAATCAGGAATCAAGTAGCAGTGATCTCCCTACATTTTCACCACCTTCTATCACCTCTGTCATTCTGCCTGCTCTCACCTTTATAATATGCAGTGTGTTCTTTTCCTACCCCTCAGAAGCTCACAGCTGATAATCCATATGGTCGTAGTGTTTGACTTATTTTTAAAACAGTCTTCGAAAGTTTTCTAGGTACAGGACCTCTGAGGTTATTTCTCAGAGACAAAAACTCTCAGTAAGAAACAGTAGGGTGTCTGCACTTTAGTAATGAGGGGCCAGAGTCTGCTTCTTTTTGTATCCTCAGCCTCTCGTCTCCTCCTTTTGGAAGAGGAGGGAACAGGTACTCCAGGCTCTAGGGTTGAATTCAGTTTCTGTTACCTTCAGTCACATGACTCTGCAAAACCTGGCGGATACGTGGGTTGGGATGTGGGGACAACCTCTGTGATTCCTGTTCTGTGATGGATGGTTTCTCTGTGGTCCATTTCACACAACCTTTCAACATTTCTTTCAGATAAAGGGCCAGTGACCAGCATTCTCCCATCTCAGGTAAACAACTCTCCGGTCATAAACCACCTTCTTTTAGGAAAGAAGGTGAAGATGTCAAACAGACCTGCCAAGAATGCGGTCATCCACATCCCCGGCCACACAGGAGGCAGAACGTCTCCTGTCCCTTATGAAGACCTCAAGACGAAGCTCAATTCTCCGTGGCGAACTCACATCCGAGTCCACAAGAAGAACATGACGAGGACCAAGAGTCAGCTGGGCTGCGGAGACACCGTTGGGCTGATAGAAGAGCAGAATGAGGGCTGCAAGACTAAGAGCCCGGGGGCGGCGGAGTTCCCCTCCAGCCGCGCCGCGGCAGCTGGAGGAGAAGGTGGCAGCTCGGAAGGCCGTGTGGGGAGGACAATCGAAGGGCAGTCTCCGGAGCCAGCGTTTGGGGATGCCGACGCTGACGTGTCTGCGGTCCAGGTGAAGTTAGAAGCCTTGGAACTGAACCGGAGGGATGCTGCTGCCGACCCCGAGCCCAAGGCACACGCGCCCTGCCAACGGCACTTCCCGGAGCTGCCTGATACGCCCGGGGAAACCAAACCTCCCCAGGGCGGCCACCTGAAAGCACCCATCTTTAGCCCTTTCCCCAGCGTCAAACCACTGCGCAAGTCAGCCACTGCCAGGAACTTGGGATTATATGGTCCTACAGAAAGAACCCCAACCGTGCACTTTCCTCACATGAGCAGGGGCTTCAGCAAATCCAGCGGTGGAAACAGTGGCACTAAGAAACGATGATGGCCTTCAGAAGCTTCGACTGTAGATGCGCCTTCCCATGGTGGTAAAAGGGTTCCGGCTGAGGCTCCCAAAGAGTGTTAATTGTCCAGTGAAAATGAATAGATAGGTTCAGAGATGAACACCAGTCTGTAAAGATGGGAAATGGAACTTTTCTAGTGGGAGCCAGGACGGGGATGTTTTCCCACCCACCGCTAACCGATCCAGTGAATTCTGTGGCAGCATAAATATTGTAGTTTTAAAGCGTGAAGTTTTCCCTATTTTTAATCGTGAGTTGTTTAGAAAAGGCTGCGTATTTAGACTGTTAACCCCTCTTCCTTCTTCCTGTTCTGAGGGCTGTCAGGGTCCCTGCGACAACACTCCTCCAAACCTTCTGGTTCTCTGGGCGTTAGCGATACTCAAGCATGCACACACTAGCTCGCTAGAACAGAAACTGTACAAAGGAAGTAGGTTTCTTAGTTACAAAAAACATCCTGATTTCCCTCTTCCTGCCCCACTGGGGGAATGTTTGTGTGTGTGCGTTTTTCTTCAGTAGTTTCTCTCAGCCAGTCTGAAGATTGTTTTTTCATTCTAGAGCTAAAGTGCAGGAGAAAAATGTAGATAGCCTTAGTTTCTCTTTCTGCCTGCAAAATGAAGAAAACCCTTTATCTGTTGAAATTTAGGTTAAGCCGCCAATTTGAAGATCTTATCCAGAGAACACACACGGGATATGCATTAAGCAATCGCTCTGAACGGCTTGCTGATTCTGCTAAGCTTTCCCCAAGGTTCATTTTTTTCCCCTCTAAGAAGAATTATGGTCCTTAGTGTTGGGATGACTTGGTGGGCTCTCCATGGAGCGTGTCCCGTGTTGTCCGCCGTGCAGCTCACTTACCTACCAGCTCTTCATGGCAGACGCAGCGATGCTCGATCGTGGCTCGAGCCGTGTTCACGGCTGCTGCTCGGAAGCCAGAAACACAGCACCTGCAATTCTGTTACTTGAATTTTGTGCTTTTTTGATTGGAGCACTTTGTTGAGTACTTTTGTTACTTGAACACTGCCTTTCTTTGGAGAAGGCATTAGTGCTTTCTAGCTCTCTCTTACCCACTTCTCTCCCGGTCCCAGCGGGTCAGAGACAGCACCTGTTATCTCCACTATGCAGATGGGAACTCTGAGCCACACGAAGGTGAAGTAGCATTACAGGCAGATACTCAAGGTGAATACTCCCATTGTTCCCTGTGACTTGGTCACATCTCTGGCACAATAGGCGGATTTACTGCTCTTTGTACACAGATGCATTGGCTGTATAGGTTCTAAAAAACCAAGACTGGGAAGCCACTCACGGTACTCCCTCTCGACTCAGAGGACCTTTCTCCAGATGGTACAGAGTCCCGTGATGGCATTTCACAAAACCAGCTCTGTTTTTACCCAAAAAGGTAGTTCATTTTAAAAATGCTTCGTGCAGCTGTCGTTTGAACAAAGGCTCACTCCTCAGTCCCCTTGTCTTACTGTTATCCGAAGAATAGCCTCAGCATCTTTATCCTCCTCTCTGATAGACCTTGACCATGCCTGCAGGCACATTGTCGATGCACTCAGTGTTCATTTGGGCTAATTGGATTGCCAAATCTGAAACCAAAGCTATAATTTTAGAGAGGGCTTCTACTGTGAGAGGTATTAATTTTCATAATAAAATAGAGAATGTGGTAGTGTGGGCTTTTTTTTTTGAGTAGAAGACACAAGAATGACGTACAGTGAGAAAAGCCATGTTATCCCTTTTGTGGTATTTTTACCCCCAAAGGCACTGAAGGTGGAAAATATGACTACTGAGTTATTGCGGTGTTGGTCTTGAATTCTGTGCCACCTGAGGTTGGCATGCAGCTTCTTAAAAAGCAGCCACGCCCACCACCTCTGTCTTGGGAAGGGAGGAGGTGGATGTTGGGCTTACCTCGCGTCCTGCCGTGGGGATGAGACCCGCTGCATTTTTCAAAGTTAAGCAAATGACACGATTTTCTTCCATCTGCTAAAACTTTACAGATAATGATTCCACCTTATATTCTTTTCTCCCCCACCCCAATGAGTCAGAACAGACTCATCCCTTTGAGGGATGTGTGACTGGAATGGAGGAGTAGTCTCTCTTCTCTTGAGTCAGCCCCGTGCTCCCTGAGGATCTGGGTCCAGGGAGGTGGATGCTGGAGCGGAGCCGCTTACCACAGTCCTTGGGATGGCGCTGTTGTGTCTAAGTGTCTTAGTGTTGGTGACACAGGACCCACCAGTTTCCCTCTGATGGTCTTTCTGGGAGAGGGACGGACGAGATGGGCGCATGCTTTGGAAGAAGTATTTTAGCCCAAATGGAAGAATGAATAACTGAAAGGATCATAGTCCTCGGAGGTCAAAATGACCTTGTCAGGATTTTAAAAACCGAAGGATTTCTGTTGAAGCACTCTCTGTACCAATAACATGCATGCATTGTACCGTGTAATCGCAATGTGAATCGGTCAACTTTGGAGACTTGCCTACTTTAGGAAATAGAGAAATCTGCAGTAGCCTTCACCACACAGCATGTACAAAGACCAGTATGGACTCGTTCTCCTCCCTACGTATTGGACACTGTACTCAAGCACCAGAAGTACTTACCAAGTAGCGGTTTCTCGATTTCTAGATCTGTCTGTCCCCTGTCAGCACTTGTGCGGGGAGTCCCCTCCTTCCAGTGCTTCTGCACCTCAATACTCTTACAAAAGCCTCCAGATGGTTTAAACCTAGTTTGTAATGTTTGACCTATGGGCTGTCACTTTTTGAAACATTGTATTCCTTTTTTCTTTTTTCTTTTTTGTCTCTGTTGTTCTGAAGAATTGTACTGATGACAAAGACATGCGCATAAAGGTTCTTGTTGTTGTAGCTGTCGTGCCATTTTCTGAGTGCATGCGTAGAATACCGTTGTGACACTGACATTCTCCTTCCCCTTCCGCTTCAACTTTTTCCCCTCCTTAGTCACGGAACTGGGGAAACAGCCCAGTAAGCGCCATCTCCCCCAATCTAATCACTGGGCTGCAGGGTGGCCCGTGACCTCTTGAGAACTTGGCAGAGGAGCGGGTTCCTAGGTATGAGTGAGTAGAGAGTTTACTTAAGAACGTGTGTGTGAATGTACGTGTGTGTATAAAATTAGCCATTAGGTTTGTCATTTTCCTTTGTTTCAATAAAATAGGACGCCAGGAACGTAACTCAGCTTCCTGGTCTCATGGGTGGGATGTGAGTGGACAGCTGTGGTCACAGGTACTGCTTCAGCCTGCTCCCTTCATCAAGTCTCCCTTTACTCTTTCTGAGCCACTTTCTTTGCTGCCTCCAGCAATCATTTGAGGCAACGTTTAAAATACATTACTTTTTCGGGGTGCCTGGGTGGCTCAGTTGGTTGAGCATCTGACTCCGGCTCAGGTCATGATCTCACAGTTTGTGAGTTCAAGCCCTGTGTTGGGCTCTGTGCTGGCAGCTCGGAGCCTGGAGTCAGCTTCAGATTCTGTGTCTCCTCTCTCTGCCTCTTCCCTGCTTGTGCTCTTTCTCAAATAAACGTTAAAAAAATTTTTAAAAACATATTATTTTTCCTAATGAAAGAAGTAGCATATATTTTAAGAAAATTTGCAAAACCGAGCATAAGGAATCCTCAGTGTTCTGGTATGGGCTTCTCCGGAACGTTCTTGTATGTGTGTGTGCATGTATACACACACAAAAAGGTATATTTAGCTGTCTTTCCAGTAGACGCTCATTTACAGCGTCATTTTCAGTGACTTTCCTTCATGTGTTCATGCCAGAATTCAGGACTGTTGTCAAACAGTTGGTTCCTGATGGTAGGTAGTATTTGAGAGCGTCTTAATACTTACATCTTTGTGTACAGACTTAAGTACGTTCTCAGGGTACATTCATCGAGGTGGTGTTACTGGATTAGAAAGTATGAACATTTTGGGGGCACCCGGGTGGTGCAGTCGGCTAAGCCTCTGACACTTGATCTCAGCTTAGGTCATGGTCTCACGATTTGTGAGATCGAGTCCCATGTCAGGCTCTGCACTGACAGTGCTAACAAACCTGCTTGGGATTCTCTCTCTCTCCCTCTCTCTCTGCCCCTTCCCCATGTTCTCTTTCTCTCAAAATAAATGAACTTTAAAAATAGGAACATTTTTGGGGCGCCTGGGTGGCTTGGTCGGTTAAGCGTCCGACTTCGGCTCAGGTCATGATCTCATAATTAGTGAGTTCAAGCGTTGGGCTCTGTGCTGACCGCTCAGAGCCTGGAGCCTGTTTCGGATTCTGTGTTTCCCTCTCTCTCTGCCCCTCCCCTGTTCATGCTCTGTCTCTCTCTGTCTCAAAAATAAATAAACGTTAAAAAAAATTTTTTTAAATAAAAAAAAATAAAAATAGGAACATTTTTAAGTCATACGTATTGTCAAATTGCCACCATCAAAGGTTGAACTTCTCATTGCAAGCCTTGAATAAGAATGCCTGTTTCTCTATGCCCTTGGATGAGGCAGCAGTTTTTTTCTTTTTTTTTTTTCTCTTTTCTTTTTTTCTAGGACCTCCAGTATTGATAGAAGCAGTGATAACGGGCATGCATACCTCATTCCTGGCTTTTGAAGGAACCATTCAGTAAGATGTTTGCTGAGATTTCTGGTAGGTATCTTTTATCAGGTTAAGGAAATTACCTTTTATTCTTTGTTCACTAAGGTTTTAAAAAAAATCAGCAGGTACAGTTGACCCTCAAACAGCAGGAATTTGAACTGTGGAGGTCCACTTATATGAGGATTTGATAAATACAGTGCAGTACTATAAATACATTTTTCTTAGAATTTTCCTAACATTTTCTTTTGTCCGGCTTACTTTATGATAAGAATACAGTGTAATACATATAACATACAAAAATGTGTTAATTGGAGGTTTATATTATTGGTAAAGCTTCTGGCTAACAGGCTGTTAGTAGTTAAGTTTTGGGGGAATCAAAAGTTATATGTGGATTTTCAACTGTGCTTCTCACCCTCGTGTTGCTC